ATACAACCAACAACAGCAGAGAAGACATTCTTGTTGAGTGTATGAGGGACATAGATAGACCATATGACAGGGCGTAGAACAAGTCTATAAAGTTAAAAGGATACAAATCTATTAAGTGTGTAGGATTTTGGAGTGAAAATTAGAAATGGAGTGAATGGAGAGAAATTAGAATCACAATGGAGTGAAATTAAAAATCAATAACACAAGGAAATAGGGAAATTTGCAAGTATGTGAAAAGTAAGCAGCACGATCTTAAATAGCCAACAGTTCTGAAAAGAAATCATAGGAGAAATTAGAAAACACTTCGAGATGAGCAAAAATAAGGACACGACATAATAAAACTTATGGGATTCAGCTAAAGCAGTGCTTAGAAGGAAATTTACAATGATATATACCTGTATTTAAAATGAAGAAAGATGGCAAATAAGCAGCATAGTCTTATACCATAAGACACTGTGAAAACAGCAAAGTAAACCTAAAGCAAATAGAAGTGGGGGGGAGTAAAATTTAGAGGAAAACATTTTAAATAGTAGGATAAGAGAAAAACTTTTAAGTCGATGAAACCAAAAGCTGCTTCTGTTTATTTTTAACAAGATATCAAAAAGATCAACAAAATTGATAAACATTTGCTCAATTGACCAAGACCAAAAAAAAAAAACCAACAACTCAGATAATTTAAATTATGGGACTCAGAAATGATATTGTTACTGAATTTCCATAAATAAAAAGAATTGTAAGTAAATATTATCAACATTTGCAGACTAATAAATTAGATAAGTTAGATAATATAGACAGATTCCTGAAAAGACAAAAAATTCCAAAACTACCACAGAAAGGAACTGTCAACTGAGTAGACCTATAGCAAGTGATTGAAGGTATTCTCTCAATATTTTTAATAACAGAATCCTCTGAAATTATAGCAGGGTACACAGATGGTCAAATATAGTAGTTTCTATATTCTTAGCCTCCTTTGTTGCCAAGCTTGGCAAAGTAATTAAGTTCTAACCAATAAAATATAAGCTTAATGATAGGTGTAACTTCTAGGTTTATCCCTTAAGAATGATGTCTCTCTTTCTGATTTACTGATGGCTATGAACAGAAAACCAGATACTATGGACTCAGCAGTGGAAGGCTTATCTTAAGGATGGCAGAACAAATTCACCAGTTCTCAAGGGCTAGTATAACCTCATGAAGCTATTACCATATCAGCTTTGCAAATTGTGGATTGCTTGTCACAAGACTGTTGTATGAGAGAAATAAATTCTGATTTAAGTACATTAATTTTTTATTCAGTGACCTTTCTAAAGATGACAGGCCAGGATACAATTTTTCAGATAACTCTGAGTAACTTCCCAAAAGTAAGGAAGAAGCCAGGATATGTAAGAGTTTTTTTTGCTATAGAAAACATGTAGTTGAACACCAAAAAATTACTGCTAATAACAAAAATACATAACATCTAAAATCAATTATTTTAGTGTCTTTCTATCTATGGTAAGGACCAGCATCCTGCCTTTCATCATTTTGCATTCCCCTTAGGGTGTAGTTCAGTGGTAATAGCTTGAAGGCATGATGACTAGCAACATTCCTTGTTTATCAGAAAGGCAGACAATATTCTTTGTTTACTGAAATGGCAGGCAATAGTTTTTGTCCACAGAGGAAAGGAGTTGATGAATAGAGGGAAAGCACCTTTTATGGTGAGTGGAAAAGTGAATGGAATGAGTACTAGGGATGCAGTTGACTTCCCTCTCTGATAAAACAAAACTAATGAAGTAGCAGGAAGCCTTGGTTATGGGTAGAATATGAACTCTGGAAGTTTTAAATCCTCAGAGATTCCCAGAAGAGTTTTATTAGTCACATGTTACACAAAGTCCTGAAACTAAAAAGAGCAAATTAAAAAGTTGAGTGAGAGAGTTCCTTTCCTCCTTCTGATGAAAGAAGAAAGAAATCCCTGAGAGTCTCTTAAGCAGAACCAAACAAACCTCTAGAGCTCAGGAACCTCAAGCCCTGGCAATTATCAGGTAATATCTCTAAAGCATTAGAAGTAAAGGCTCTAAGCCACTGCAATTTAGTGAGTGTTGGGAACTGATCATTGCAAATGTGGCCTAACCTCAAATGTCATGTCAAAAACCCTGGAGCCATAGAAAACTGATGTACACAAAGTTAGGATTTCTTCTTTCACTTCCCAGGTGGGGAAGCTCAGAAGATGCAAGGGCTTTCCCAGGGTCACTTAACTAACAGTGACACAATTAAGAGTCCAGAGCCTTTGACCAGTAATTTTCATACTAAATTTATCTTTTCCTCTTTTGAGTGAAGAACAAAGCATACTTCCAACAATGTGAAGACTTTCTTGGAAGAATATAACTATAATAGTGAACTGGCATTGGAGCCATGATAAGATACACAAGGTAGGAAATTATTCTAGTTGATTTGACTCTCTTTTCTTCATGACTAATCATCACTACCATTTTCTTTAAATTACCATTTCTCTTTGACTTTGAAAAGGATATATATTTCTTCTGTCAGTGTGGATCTATATGGCAAACTAAATTTGAGACAGGTTGATTTCACAATAACTTCAGAGAGAACTGAGAATTGGATGGGATATGATAACTTCACCACATTCACACATATACACACACATTCAGAATATGCCAAAAGTAGAAGGAGAGTCTAATATTCATATTTTATTCCTGATGGTTAGCCAAGTAGATATTTACTACACAATTGGGTAAAAACTAGATACGAAAGGACCTGGCCTGGAATTTGTATCAATTATTCTTTGCATTTTCAAAATGCTTCTGAACTTTAAACTTTGAAAACAACCTTTCTGGGCTGTCTTGGAGGGAATATGGCCTATTGTATGAAACCACACTGTTTTGCAGGTAGTATGATAGAAAAAACTTTTGGGCTTTGCACCAAGGAGATCGCCCACTAAAACAACTTCTTATTTTGCTAATATACTTTTTCCCTTTGGGGAACTTAGTGAATCTTTTAATTCCACAATCCATATAATTGCCTTTCTTATAGAGTTATTGTGAAGATTCATGTGAATTTAAGAACCTTAGTGTGTAAATAGCTCTGTTGGTGGAAAGAATTTTTCATAATATGTTAGGGATCAACAGAAAGACCAAGTATTTTCTGACTGGGGGAGATTTTGTTCTTAAACAGCTAGAATCCTTCAGAAAGATGCTTATAGAGAGAAATGAAACAGTGATCTTCAAATGTGGAATTGGATGTGAAGGACACTCACATGGAGTTTGGATACTGAAGAGAGTTACTTAAAGGTCTCATGAGAAAAAACCAAAGGAACCTTTAGACACTGTCCCTCATAATAAGTTCTTAGGCAAGAAGACAGAAAAATAGTTTACCTTTTGGGAGATAATTGCTCACAGATTAAGTGTGGATACAGCGAGAGAGGGAAACAGGAAAGATGAAAGGGTTCATAGACAAGATTAGATCAGGGGACTCATGTGTGACTATGAAAGAATAAAGGTCTTGTCAGGTCCAAGAGGACAAAGGAATCCAAGGGACCTATAAGGTAGAGTCCATATATTGTGAATTATTTATGAAAACATTTGTAATTTAGGCCATTTTCCTACTGCCTTTTCTGACTTTCAGTGACCAGCAAGATTCTACCCTGAAAATGCTTAATCTTTGCCTGAACCAAATCTAAGGAAGAATGGAAAGTCTGTTCATCTCTGTGCCCAAGATCACATGCTATACAGTGATGAATAACAAAGTAAAACAAACATTGTTTTGAGATTCAACACTTTTAAAATAACCTGCTCATTGAAGATTTATTGGAAATCAATATCTCTTTCTTCAAGGTGAAAGCATTGATAAATGAAAATAATATACCACTAAGGTTAAAACAGCTTGACTCCAGTTACAATTGTGATACTTCATAGACATGATAATCTTATTTTTAAAGTAGGTATTTTTTAAAAAGAATGTTTAAATTATAAAATTTACATTTATAAATTTAAAATGTAAATTTAAAAAAAAATTACAGCTATCCTACACATTTTATATTTCTTCTAGGCACTTAACCTATACAGTTTGAAGAGTAAACTGAATAAATATACAAACCAATTTGGCAAAATGTAGGCTCTATAAATGAGTTTTTAAATATGTTATCATGTGGTTAAGAAAAAACATAGTTCAAGGTCATATAAACATCAGGGAATATTTAACTATAAGGACAAACATGGAATTTTAGAGAGGATGAGATTAAATCTGATGTAGAATTATCAAGGAATATACAAAATCACTAGAATTTGTCTTTTTTTGCATATGCTGAGCTTTACATTGAAGAAATGAACAAAATGTCTCTTGCCACTTGAACTATAGTTGCATAAAATGTCTGCTTAGTAACATCATCCACACACTAAGCAAAATTTATCCTAAGGGTCCTTCAGAGGGGAGGAAAGAGAGCTTGCTATTTCTTTTCCTTTAGTATTTCAGGACCTAAATGTCTTCTTCAAGAAGACTTTGATCTTCTGTTGTAACTGTAAGCCATTGTTCAAATACAGTCCCCAAATTCCAAACAACTATCAGACTTCACTTACTAGCTGTTTACAAACAATATTATAAGTACAAGTTGCTATGTCAGATCCTGATTCTGTCAATTAACTACTTGGTAATTTTTTCATGGTTTAGAATCAGATCCAAATGCAACTCATCTTATGCACATGAATTTCCTTCATCTGGACAGCATTTAGGATATTTTTTGTTCTTTTTTTACTATTAGTCAATAAACTTTAAAAAATAGGGCAGAAAAAGTCATAGTAAGTAATTAGTAATGGTGGCTTAATAAAGAAGAAACACATGAACAGACAATTAAGAGAAAATATGACCTACATACACATCTTGTTCTGTCAAACAAAATATAAAATCAATTGGTAACTGCAAATTTGATTGTCTGTTTTATTCACACCAAAACTGCAGAGAATAATGGAAAATTGAATTTTTTGATTCCTTGGATTTCAGAACTTAACATGATGAAGATAAACCAGACAATCCTGAAAGAGTTCATTCTTGTTGGTTTTTCAGTTTACCCACATGGACAGACATTCCTCTTTGTGGTTTTCTTTTGCCTCTACCTTCCCACCCTCACAGGTAATCTGGCCATTATGGGTCTAACTTGGGTGGACAGTCATCTCCACACACCCATGTACCTCTTCCTTAGTGTACTCTCCTTCTCTGAGACCTGCTACACACTGACTATTTTCCCCAAGATGCTGGCAGATATCCTGGCCAAGGACAGAAGCATTTCTTACATAGGTTGTGATTTGCAAATGTGTTTCTTCTTGGGACTTGGTGGCACTAATTGTATGATTCTTACTGTGATGGGATATGATCGCTTCCTGGCCGTCTGCAACCCTCTCAGATATCCTTTGCTTATGACCAACATAATGTGTGGAAAACTTGTGGCCTCTGCTTGGATTGTTGGCTTCTTTATCTCTGTGATACAGACTTCATTGATATTCAGGGGCTCTTTCTGCAACCCCAACCTTGTCAAACACTTCTTTTGTCATATGCGAGCTGTTGTGAGGCTGTCCTGTCTAGATAGTGACCTCAAGGAATACATTGTAACAGCGATGTCAGTGTCAGGTTTGATGGGCACCTTCCTGGTCATCATCCTCACTTATGTGTTCATTCTTTCCACTGTCCTCAAAATCCCTTCAGCTGAGGGCAAGCAGAGGGCCTTTTCTACCTGTGCCTCCCACCTCACAGTGGTCATCATCCACTTTGGTTTTGCATCTATTGCTTATCTGAAGCCAGAAGCATCAGGGGGAGATGACACACTCATAGCAATCCCCTACACTATCATCAATCCTTTCCTCAGCCCTCTCATTTTCAGCCTCAGGAATAAGGACATGAAGAACGCTTTCAGAAAGGTACTTGGAAAGGAAAGAAATTTCTTGAATAATCTTGTATTATCGCTGCATAACTGAGTGTTCACAGATGTTAGTGAAGCATTTATCCTGAAATATCTGGAGAAGCCTTTTCCCAGAGGTTGACACATGGGGAGCAGGTGTCTGAGTCTTGGACTTAAGCCATGACAGGCAGTTAGTTAGCATGTTAAGGGAGTTTTCCAACTACTTCTACTATTTGTCTCTGCATATTCTATGCTACTGCCAATCATCCATTAGGTGTTTTGTACCTTTGATGACATAAGAAAAGCAAGATGGAAGAAGAAGCAAAAACACCTATGACTACTATACTAAAAGAAGATTTTAAATTTCTAGAGATGTAAATGTTGAAAAAATTTCTAGGTAATGTTGTGAGGGACTGTGTGATGCTGCTGAGGGGAGATAATTATTTCCTATAAAAGATACACTATAGAAATCACACACAGTCAAGTATGTTTCAATGTGTTTCTAGATATAGATAAATAGATAGATTAGGTAGGTATATAATTAAGAATCAGGCCATACTATTTAAAAATTTTAGTACACTGTACACAATAGTGTCCTTCCAATGACTGTTAAATGCTAGCTTCTGAATATATGGAATATTTTGGAATGCTGATTCAAATCAGTAAACAAAACAGTAGAGCGTACATGTTCTGTGACTGAGGGAATCCTTGGATGAGGACTGCAAATAGCTCCCATTTTCTTTAAGATCAAAGCAATAAGAGTGTTTAAATAAAATTTTACAATATTGACTGCCTTAACAATAAAAGGTATTTTATAATAATTTTTGCAGACACACAGTGAGTAATGAAGGAAACACAGCATTGGGTCTATATATCACCCTAAAAAAATAAGAAATAACTATGAAGGTTAAATATTTCAATAAGTAGCAACTAATCTTACTGATAATTCCAACATAAAACCTAGACACTTTTCTGAATCTTTTTCTCAGTTCTGTTGACACTATGTCCTCTCAAGAAAGATATAAATGCTGTTTTATGGGTTGATATATATATAAATAAAATGTATTAAACCTCTTCTGCTCATTTTCAAATCATGTTACTTGCTTTTTTGATATTGAGTTGTATGGGCTGTTTACTTATTTGGATATTAACTTTTATCATTCATATCATTTGCAAATATTTTCTTCCATTCCATAGGCTGTTCCCCCCCTTTTTAATGATTTCCTTTGATATGCTTTTAAGTTTAATTAGTTTTCATTTGCTTATTGTAAGTTTTAGCTTTTTTGCTTCAGGAGACAAATCCCCTCCCAAAAAATCACTATGGTTTATGTCAAAGAGTGCTCTTTTTTTCTTCTTGGAGTTTTATGGCTTATAGTTGTTTTACTTTTAGTTCTCTAATTCTTTTTGAGTTTATTTGTGTATATAGTGTTAGTAATGTCCTAATTTCATTCTTTTACATGTAGATATTCAGTTCTCCAAAGAGCGCAGGACATGCAGTTGGCCCATAGGCACAGGAAAAGATGTTAAATATCTCTAATCATCACGGAAATATAAATCAAAACCACACAGAGACATCACCAAACACCTGTCAGAATGTCTGTACTCAAAAAGAACACAAATAATAAATGTTGGCAAGGATATGGAAAAATGGGAACTCTTTTACACTGTTGTTGGGAATGTAAATTGGTGCAGACAGTGTGGAAAAGACTATGGAAATTTCTCAAAAAACTAAAAATAAAGCTGTCACATGACCCAGCGATTCCACTCCTGGGTATATGTCTGAAAAAAAGATACACTAATTTAAAAAGATACATGCACTCCAATGTTCACATCTGCATTATTTACAGTTGTCAAGATATGGAAGCAACTTATACTTCCATCAACAGATGTAGGGATAAAGAAGATGTGGTGTATAAATACATAATTGCATACTACTAAGTCATAAAAAAGGTTGAAATTTTGCCACTCGCAAAAGCATGGATGGATTTACTGGGTGTTATGGACAGGGTGGCCTGGCGTGCTGTGATTCATAGGGTTGCAAAGAGTTGGACACAACTGAGCGACTGAACTGAACTGAACTGAACTGAATGTATGCTAAACGAAACAAATCTGAGAAAGAAAAATATTGCCTTATATGTGTAACCTAAAAAATACAACAAACTAATGAGTATAACAAAAAAGAAACAGATTCAGGGATATAAAAAGCATATTAACGGTTACCAGTAGGAAGAGAGAGGGGAAGGGGGCAATTTAACTGCACCAACTTACATAATGTTGTACATCCACCTTACTTCAATAAAAGGTAAAAGAGAAAAAAAAATCGCATATAGTAAATCTTGACAAGGTCTTGGATAATGGCTTTACATTGAAAAAATTTAAAATATTTGGTGTTCAGATAAAATATATGTCATAAAATTACAATGGTTTATGATGCTTTTTAAAATGAAATATTATGTTCAATGTTTTGGTGAGACACAGTTATCTCTTTTTATGACTATCATATTAATACTTATTTCCATTTGTATGGTATATATATGTTAAATTAAATACAAAGTTAGATGTTACAGTTTCTAAAATATGGCATGTGTGATTTGACACAATCCCATATATCCTCAATAGGGTCTTACCTATGAGTTGATATTTTTCATTTTAAAAACTTTTAATGTGGATTATTAAAAACCCCACAAACAAATGAAGTAACAGGAGAAATGAACCCAAACAAAAATGTACACATAAATAGAAACCTAGAACAGAGTACTGGTGATTATCAGAGGAGAAGCAGTGGGAAGGAAGGCAAATGGGTCAAGGGGATCAATTACATGGTAACAGATTAAAGTGAAATTTTGGTAGTTAGCCCATCGTGCTGTACAAAAAGTAGACATATGCTGTGCACGTGACATTTATATAATGTTATAAACCAGTGTTTCCTCACTGCTGTTGCTCATTGTTGCTCAGTCACTCAGTCATGTCCAACTCTTTGTGACCCCATGGACTGCAGCACACCAGGCTTCCCTGTCCTTTACCATCTCCTGGAGCTTGCTGAAATTCATGTCCATTGAATCAGTGATGCCATTCAATCATCTCATCCTCTTTTGTTGCCTTTTCCTCCTGCCTTCAATCTTGCCCAGCATCAGGGTCTTTTCTAATGAGTCAGCCCTTCTCATCAGGTGGCCTAAGTATTGGAGCTGCAGCTTCAGCATCAATCCTTCCAATGAGTATTCAGGGTTGATTTCCTTTAGGATTGACTGGTTTGATCTTGCAGTCTAAGGAACTTTCAAGAGTCTTCTCCAACACCACAGTTCGAAAGCATCAATTTTTGGGTGCTCAGCCTTCTTTATGGTCCAACTCTCACATCCATATGTGACTACTGGGAAAACCATAACTTTGACCAGATGGACCTTTGTTGGCAAAGTAATGTCTCTGCTTTTTAATAGGCAGTCTAGATTGGCCATAGCTTTTCTTTCAAGGAAAAACTGTCTTTTAATTTCATGGCTGTGGTCATTATCTGCAGTGATTTTGGAGCCCAAGAAAATAAAGTCTGTCACTGTTTCCATTGTTTCTCCAAGTACTTGCCATGAGTTGATGGGACTGGATGCCATGATCTTATTTTTTTAATGCTGAGTTTTAAGCCAGCTTTTTCACTCTCCTCTTTCACTTTCATCAAGAGGCTGTTTAGTTCTTCTTCACTTTCTGCCATTACGATGGTGTCACCTGAGTATCTGAGGTTATTGATATTTCTCCGAGCAATCTTAATTCCAGCTTGTGCTTCATCCAGTTTGGCATTTCACATAATGTACTCTGCATATAAGTTAAATAAACAGGGTGATATTATACAGCCTTGACTTACTTCTTTCCCAATTTGCAAGCAGTCCATTGTCCCATTGTGGTTCTAACTGTTGTTTCTTGACCTACATACAGGTTCCTCAGGAGGCCAGTAAGGTGGTCTGGTATTCCCATCTCTGTAAGAATTTTCCACAGTTTCTCATGATCTACACAGCCAAAGGCTTTAGAGTCATCAATGAAGCAGACATAGATGTTTTTTGGAATTCTCTTGCTTTTTCTATGACCCAATGGATATTGTCAATTTGCTCTCTGGTTCATTTGCCTTTTCTAAATTCATCTTGAACAACTGGAAATTCTTGGTTCATGAACTGTTGAAGCCTGTCTTGGAGAATTTTGGACATTACTTCGCTAGTGTGTGAGATGAGTGCAATTGCGTGGTAATCTTTGTCATTGCTGTTCTTTGGGATTGGAATGAAAACTGACCTTTTCCAGTCCTGTGGCCATTGTTGAGTTTTCCAAATTTGCTGCCATATTGAGTGCAACACATTAACACCTTTATCTTTTAGGATTTGAAATAGCTCAGTTGGAATTCCATCATCTCCCATAGCTTTGCTCATAGTGATGCTTCCTAAGGCCCACTTTAATGTCCTCTGAAGCGGCTCATAAAACTTGGCTTCATTTACCTGATCTTACCATCCCACAGTGATCCTTTTCTACTATAAGAAAAGGAGCAAATGAACCTTACATGAGCTTATAGAAAACTGCAAAATGCTATTGACCAAGGATTGAAAATTTGGAGGCTTGGAATGCACTAACATTACAACTAGCTTATGAAAATTCAAATGAAGATTGTGACAGAGTCTTGTAGCCCATTTGTAATTTGCCAACAACTAATATAGCAGAAATGATAAAAGCCTTTCAAAATATAGGAACAGAATTCCACAAAGCTGCTATGCTAGCCACCGTGTTAACTCCTCAACAATGTTTTAACTGCGACAAATCTGAGATATACAAAAAAACTGCCATCTGGTCAAAAGAAACCTTCTCAAAATGTCCTCGTTGCAATAAGTGTTTCCATTTGGCTAATCAATGCCATTCCAAATTCGATAATAAGGGACAGCTTCTGTCAGGAAACCACTGGTGGGGTCAAACCCAGGCCCTGCATCAGGAATAGAGGACAAACAAAATACAGACTTCGGACGTGAAAACCCCAGAATGGAATCCAAACAATCCCCT